TAATGAACCAACAACAAAAATGTGTGTGCAAATAATTAGTATTTTGAAGAATGAAAAAAATATGTTACGTAGAAGGATTGAATTTGATATATCCGAAAATTGAGCCAGTCTGATAACATTGAAATTTTGTTTCATATTTTTGTGAATGTAAATTATACACTCATAGACAGTTTATGAAAATCCATAAATTAATTGAATCGCTTAAAAAATAATATATCACTTTAAAACTATTCTATTTATAGGCATTTTTTTACAAATTTTCGAAAAATACTTCGAAATCATTTTCACTCCTCCGCAGAGATCTATCGGCTTGTAGTCTGGCACCCGGTGGAATTGACATATGGAGTTTTTTTGTGTATTCCTTGGGTTGTACAAAACCTTGGGGTGTTGTAAGATATGAGTCAAAAGTCTCCAAAACTCTTAACAGAACAAATTTTATTATTCGAATATAGAGATTTATAATAAGAATATTGTGTGTTATAGATTAGGCAAGGTAAGAAAGTTCTTAAAGAAAAATATTTTAAATAGAAACCGAAGTGAAAGCTTGTCCGTTTTCTTATCAGTGGAATATATTGACATAGGCATTGGTGAAACAAGAACATAATCTTTACAAGGAAATACCCCTTATACTATCTGAATCCTTAATTTCTGAAGTTGGTGAAATTGACATATGGAGGATTTAGTGATGGATTTTTGCTGAAGTGGTTTCTACTCCGAAAAAATAGGTCCATTGTTTTCTGGAATATCATTGAATCGAAATGACCAGTATATTGGAACTATAAAGAATTGCGAAGTTTAAAGTAGGTCCATTTTGGATTTAATTATATATTTTCAATCAAAGAGTAGAAATCATTTTAGCAAATAACCATCAATAAATCATCCATATTCCACCATAATTTTTTAACCGAATAGTTTTGTAATATGTTCTCATAGGAGAGAATGAGCGAAAAGTGCCAAATTTTTGCAAAATTTTAAATCCTCAATAGATTGAGTATCCAATATGATCGTGATATCAATATCCTACACCTAAAATCGAAGTTGGGATATATTGATAGTTCATTCTAGTATCACGTTCCCCACACAAAGGGTGTAAATATATTTGATAGGATAAAGAAATTAGTTGAAGAGAGTTTTAAAGGACAATCGTTTTGGGTTTAAAGCAGGCCTGTCCATGCCCTAGACTAGACACCGTGCTATTGCTTAGACTATTAAAAGGTCATGATGGATTACTGTACAAACTGCAGCAATTTTGATTTGATAACCAAACCGTCAGGTTAGTAGGTAGTTTTCTAGCTGATAGATTCTACAAGGTGAAGGTTGATGAGTCCTTCAAGTCTAAAACCTCTTCTGAGAGGCCTAACCCAAGGATCGCTCCTAGCGCCGATGTTATATAACATGTTTAAAATTTTTTTATGCCAATGACGTGCTTCTGGCATTAACAAGTCGACTGGTTCGTACAATAAAAGCACAGCTAAATGATTATCTGGCGGCTCTAGATTAGTATTTTATCTTGTGGGGTCTAAAGATAAATGGCGAAAAGAAGTTGGCTATAATGATAACGGGTAAGGCATGAGATATCTGGTCAAGTTAGAGAACCTAACGTCCGGCCCTAAAAATTGTTTCTAATGTCGTGGGGTGAAAGGGAGGTAGAAATCGTCCCAATCGATTTACGGCATTTTTATATATTTAAGGTGGGGGTATAAAAATGTCGACTCGGCGAAACTTAACGACATATTAACACTGATATCATATTTATCAACATTTGCATATTTTCATTCGCTTTTTGTTTTAGCTACATTGCATCCCACGATATTTTCTTATTGTTGTTTTGTTTCTGCTGTTTTATAGTTTTTTTAGAATTGTGATTAATTCTCATATGAATGCAATTCCAAAAAAATCTACACAACGGATGTGCATTGCTGTTTAAAAATAATGACCAATATTTTTGTTTAATTTGTTTATTTATTTATTCATTACTGCAGATTTTTCAACTCAACATTGATTGGAGGAATTTTTTAAAATTATTTATTGATTATTAAATCATTTGGGGAATATTGGGATGAAATGAAGGAAAAAATGGAATCAAAAGTAAATCAGAAATGCACTGGTTTCTAAATATAACCTATGATCAGTTCACGTACTTAAAAATTCTTAAAACTTTTCAAATTTTGATATGTTCTCGAATTTAAACTGGTTAAGTTTTTCAAATTTACAAGAAGAAAATGTAAACCAATTTCTACTAAAGATTATTGCAGTCTGGGGCAGATAAAAGAAAGATGGAGACAAGAGAACTATCTTGTTTATTTTTGATTACATCAGATCGGCTTTTTATCAAACCTCATATTTATTTAAATTCTTATTTTAAATTGCTTCTCACAACTTTCTGAACAAAATGATTTCCGGCTTTTGTTTTTTTTTTCGATTTCGTTTAAAGACAATTTTAAAATCAAACTTACTACTCATATCATTGTACACTTGTCTGGTTTGAATAATCTCCCGGTATTTAGACACCACTTACGGCAGCATTTATTACTTGTTTAACAAAACAGCAACAACAACAAAAGTGCCAACGTAACATTAATTGAAAAAAAAAATAGGCAAAGCGTGGCAATAAAAAAAAAAAAAAAATTAAGAATGTTTTTCAAAGTCTATCAAAGACGTGTAGACACAAAGGAATATTTTTGAAGGTCTACCAAAGGCTTGGGTTTATTAAAGAAACTTTAATAGTTCTTAAAGGCGTTAATTTTTTAAACAAATATTTTTTAACAACTATCAAGGCGTGGATTTTTTAAATACATATTTTTGAGGACTTTACAAAGAGTGGATTTTTTAAAGACACATTTATTGAGGACATAACAAGGCGTGGATTTCTTAAAGACACATTTATTGAGGACTTAACAAGGCGTGGATTTCTTAAAGACACATTTTTTGAGGACTTAACAAGGCGTGGATTTCTTAAAGACACATTTTTTGAGGACTTAACAAGGCGTGGATTTCTTAAAGACACATTTTTGAGGACTTAACAAGGCGTGGATTTCTTAAAGACACATTTTTTGAGGACTTAACAAGGCGTGGATTTCTTAAAGACACATTTTTTGAGGACTTAACAAGGCGTGGATTTCTTAAAGACACATTTTTTGAGGACTTAACAAGGCGTGGATTTCTTAAAGACACATTTTTTGAGGACTTAACAAGGCGTGGATTTCTTAAAGACACATTTTTTGAGGACTTAACAAGGCGTGGATTTCTTAAAGACACATTTTTTGAGGACTTAACAAGGCGTGGATTTCTTAAAGACACATTTTTTGAGGACTTAACAAGGCGTGGATTTCTTAAAGACACATTTTTTGAGGACTTAACAAGGCGTGGATTTCTTAAAGACACATTTTTTGAGGACTTAACAAGGCGTGGATTTCTTAAAGACACATTTTTTGAGGACTTAACAAGGCGTGGATTTCTTAAAGACACATTTTTTGAGGACTTAACAAGGCGTGGATTTCTTAAAGACACATTTTTTGAGGACTTAACAAGGCGTGGATTTCTTAAAGACACATTTTTTGAGGACTTAACAAGGCGTGGATTTCTTAAAGACACATTTTTTGAGGACTTAACAAGGCGTGGATTTCTTAAAGACACATTTTTTGAGGACTTAACAAGGCGTGGATTTCTTAAAGAATATTTTTCAGAGCCTTAACAAGGCGTGGATTTTTTAGGGAATATTTTTCAGAGCCTTAACAAGGCGTGGATTTCTTAAAGACACATTTTTTGAGGACTTAACAAGGCGTGGATTTCTTAAAGACACATTTTTTGAGGACTTAACAAGGCGTGGATTTCTTAAAGACACATTTTTTGAGGACTTAACAAGGCGTGGATTTCTTAAAGACACATTTTTTGAGGACTTAACAAGGCGTGGATTTCTTAAAGACACATTTTTTGAGGACTTAACAAGGCGTGGATTTCTTAAAGACACATTTTTTGAGGACTTAACAAGGCGTGGATTTTTTAGGGAATATTTTTCAGAGCCTTAACAAGGCGTGGATTTCTTAAAGAATATTTTTCGGAGCCTTAACAAGATGTGGATTTTTTAGGGAATATTTTTCAGACCCTTAACAAGGCGTGGATTTCTTAAAGACACATTTTTTGAGGACTTAACAAGGCGTGGATTTCTTAAAGACACATTTTTTGAGGACTTAACAAGGCGTGGATTTCTTAAAGACACATTTTTTGAGGACTTAACAAGGCGTGGATTTCTTAAAGACACATTTTTTGAGGACTTAACAAGGCGTGGATTTCTTAAAGACACATTTTTTGAGGACTTAACAAGGCGTGGATTTCTTAAAGACACATTTTTTGAGGACTTAACAAGGCGTGGATTTCTTAAAGACACATTTTTTGAGGACTTAACAAGGCGTGGATTTCTTAAAGACACATTTTTTGAGGACTTAACAAGGCGTGGATTTCTTAAAGACACATTTTTTGAGGACTTAACAAGGCGTGGATTTCTTAAAGACACATTTTTTGAGGACTTAACAAGGCGTGGATTTCTTAAAGACACATTTTTTGAGGACTTAACAAGGCGTGGATTTCTTAAAGACACATTTTTTGAGGATTTTTGTGTATTTTTAAAGAAATATTTTTTTTTTTACAACTATCAAGGCGTGGATTTCTCAGAAGTGTGAACTTTTTTTAATAATAATAAATAATATTTATTCAAAGTCTCTCGAAAGTTTGGATTTTTAAAGAATGTGTTTTTATTATGTTTTCAGGTTTACTTCATCTGCTTCTTCGTCCCACGCTGGCAATGAAATCATAAAACCCTGTACTCATATATGTCCCTACTGTATCAAATAACTCTACTGTAATAATTTATACCGGAGGCGAGACACACACTACCAATCAGACAGAGAGAGAGAGCTGAAACAGCAACAACAACAAAAACAACGCCAACATATTTCACTACCATCAATTCGCTATGAATTTTATTGGTGCAGACAATGAAAATGGTTAGAAAAATTAAGAAAATTTGTTTCTATCAACATTCCATACGATTTGCAATAATTTTAAATTTATTAATTACGCATAGTGGACTTGGTCCGACCACAGCATTATTTGTTGATTATGCTGGTAAGTGGGTGCATTTGGAATTTATATTTGAAACTTTGTTCAATAGTGACTTGTGGCTTGTGTATTTTAGATAACACCGAACTGATTCAAGATGTACCCGGTCAAAATATAACACTTCAATGCGGTACCAATGGTCTTATAAATGATGGGAAAGACAATGGCATCAAGTACCTGTGGTATTTTATGGTAAGTAGGAGATTTCGTATATATATGCATTTATGAAAAATATCCTAATATGGGAGTTTTCTAACAAGGGTAAAAAAGTTCGACCCAACCGAACTTAACCTAATTTTTAATATTTAGATTTTTTTCTATTTTTTTGTTTCATATTTCCAGCAATGCGGTGAAAATTCTGGCGGAGTAGTCAACTGTTATCATTCGGTGAATGACGATGATTGGACCCAATTGCCGTGTGAGGATAATTTTTGCAAACCCGATTTGCAATTGAAAAATGTTACCGAAAAATACTCGGGCCTATACAAATGTACTGTGGTGCCCCAGGTGGGTAGTAGTATTGTGGATATCAAATTAGTGCGAACCTATCAATTGGATATACGAAGTAAGTTTAGAAACAAAAAGTTCCTGAGTTTGAGATATTAAACTTGATTCTTACTTCCAGATACCTCACAAAAGATTCCCGAATTTCTGGATGGTTACCCGTTGAATAACACCATTACCTTGGGATTTCAGGCTGTCTTCCAGTGTCGTGTCTATTGTGAGGAGTATCCAACAATTAAATGGTTTCGTCGACTTCCCGAACGTAACAAATTTACCGAATATGACAGTTTACATTCCATTGTCCATTATAATGGACGAGCCTATGAATTGTTGACATCGGCTGGAGAAAAACCCCTGGGACATGATATTTATCTAAGTAAACTTATTTTGAATAAGGTACAGCCACATGATGAGGGATTCTATGCCTGTGTGGCAATCACTGTTCATGGTCATAGTATTCGTGAGGCATATCTGCAGGTGGATACTAGCGAATATGATGATGGGTCGCCGGCTTATTGGTCAGATTATAGCGAAGAGACTGGGGAAAATAACGATGATGATGCCACAAGTGATCCAAGTGAATTTTGGTTACTCTTTCTAATGCCCTTGGGCCTAGCCTTACTACCACTTACAGTTTGGCTTTGTTATCTTGCACATAAACGTTGCAGAACTGCCAGCAGTAATTCCGAAGAACTGCTTTCAATTGATCATCAACGTATGTTAAGGAAATAAGTCGATGTAGAGTTACGATTTATAATATTATTATTAATAAGTTAGGTTATAAGTGTTAAATACTCGTAGTATCGAGTGCCAAAGAATGATTTTTTTGTTTAATATAATTATATATATTTTTTGTGAATTCAATTAGTTTGTATTAAAAATTTATATATAAAAGTTTTGGAATTTATTTTTTATTTTTTAAAGAAGTATTTTATGAGGAATTAACAAGAGGTGGATTTTTTAAAGACATATTTTTTGAGGACCCTACAAAGGCCTGCATTTTTTAAAGACATATTTTTTTAAAGAAATGTTTTTAAAGGCCTATGTGGATAGTTGTCAGGTTCCACTGTAATCAATTTTGAAGCAATCAAAAAGCTTCCTTCAAAACAAAATTCGCAAGCAAATAAATTAGAAGTTTCATTTTTTATTTTTATTTGTTATAATTTGTGTAAAATATATATTTTCTATAGACAAACTTCGTGATCATTCCAAGTTTCATGATATTAGAGATATATTTGAATTTCTATTTGATGCGTCAGCTGCAGGTGCATATTTTCTATTTTCGAATTTGTATTAATATTGCCAATCAAAGGGAACCCATTGAACAGCCGCTGAATTATTTGGATGGTTAGAAAGAAGCCTCAAGACACCTAATTTATCGAACAGAAATACACGATGTCACGAAAACGTGTTTACGCCATTGCCAATTTGGAAGGTGACAGCAGCGAAGAGAGTGAATATGAATATTTACGTCCCGGTTGTTATTATGTACCCCAACAACAACAACCACTAACGACAACATTTCCTCCAACAATGTCCTATAATTGTTGTGGTCATCATACCGAGGATCCTTGGTTATTACCTTCCCAAAATTCCTATACTCCGGCAACATATGTTGTGGATAATTTTGGAGAAATCTGTTATGCCAATGATATGGATTATCAATGTTATCAGTCACATCTAAGGCCCTCAGTCACAGAAGAATTTACTTCGAATCCGTCAAGAATACAAATGATTTATACAATGCCACATATCGATGAAGATGATTATTATAATCCGCCAGAAAGTCCACGTAAACGGGATCGCCTTGAAGAAAATTCTAAGGAGAATAATGATGCAGAAAAGGAAACCGAAAAGTCTCCATCGGCTAATGTTTATCGTGCCCAAGAGGGATATTTAGTGGAGGAGCCAATAGATAATAGCAGCGAAAAGTGAATTAATGGGAAATAATGTGCGTTTGTTAGAGGTTAATTTGTTATGTGAGAAATAGGCAAATATATGTATATATGTGGAAAATACAACAACAACAACAAAAAGGAAATATTTTATTTATATTATATTTACTACTGATATTTATACAGAGTACATAATATCTAATAGTTCTCCCCCCGAAAATGGTTATGTAAGTCACAGCAAGTAACAAGGCGTGGGTTTTTAAATAAATATTTTTTGACTAACTACCAAGGCGTGGCTTTTTTAGAGAAAAATTGTATGACTACCTACCAAGGCGTGGGCATTTTTATTAAATAAATATTTTTTACTAACTACCAAGACGTGTATATTTAAAAAAAATTTGACTACCTCCCAATGCGTGAATATTAAAAAAAAATTGGGTAACTACTAAGGCGTGGATATCTTAAAAAATATTTTTGGAGGACCCATATAGGCTTACTTACTTATTCCTGCCCGATCGTTTACTAATTTGACCAAATTTAGTACCTTTAGTGCACATTATTATAAATACAATTGAAACCTTATTGTACCAAATGAAGAGTCATTTAGTACAAATAAGTATGAATTTCAAAACTTCTTACATAACCCTATCCTACACTCTACTAGTAATCTTTTTCCCAGTTTTAGGATTCCATCATTATTGGCTTACCCAAATCCAAGTTGTACCATTTAGTACATTTCTTACACATAAGTACAAATTTCCAAAACAACCTTTATAGTCCAATCCAAAATTGATACTAACTAAAAATTTCATTATAGTACTTTTCGAATACTTATAGTTCGTAGTTTCAAATACCCTTTATTACATCTATCCTACATTCCATCATTGACAGTCATCAGTTCCAGCTACCGGTTCATCAAATACAAATGGTACCATATTTAGTACTAGTTTCCTTTTTATATTAAATCGTATTCCCAGCTTTGCATATGTATTTCTGCCGGGACATACCGTCTTGTCATTAGAAAAATAAGGCATCTTTATATTTTTTACTAGATTAACACTAGTTTGTGTGATTACACATCTAAAACTTCGTTAGGTTCCTCTGCGATATTCACCTGGATCTGCAAACCCAACACCTGAAATTCCGATGTGTTCTCTGTATTATTCGCCTGGATTGTTTTCGCAATATTATCTGCGAACCCCATTTGGAAAATTTTAAAGGACATATAAATTCGTCTTACCATTTGTTCCAAACATGAGTGCATTATTTTCATAGTAATTCCCTTCTGATGGGCGCCAAAAACAATATACGTACAAAAATCCGATATTATCTGAAAATAAGGTTAAAAAACTGTTATTAACGTGCTTGATATATCGAGATTTATACGAAATTTATTAGTATTCCAATTCAAAATATTGATTTCTTATTGAAATATTTATCAATAGACAAAATAGTTTGATGTCAAAAAATCTCTTCTCGAGACGAGATCGAGCTGCATAAAATGTTTTACAAAAATAATCCTCATGATTAAGAATTTAACAAAACTACAAATAAAACAATGCCGAACACTGTAAATTATCTCAAACACAATATAATATATTAATGTAATTCTCTAAAAACTCATTGATATTTAACTGGTCTCTCTCTTTTTCGGATATCAAAGTTTGCAAGAAAGCAATTCCAAAAGAGAGAGAGGGAGAACTAGATTTCATTCATAACCATTTAAGTAATACTACTAATCTCAAAAAAAAAAACATTTACCTTGCCATTAGATTAGATTACCTCTTCGAATTCGAAGAGAACTAATACAAATACTTAGCTACACATTTGTGCAATATTTCAACATTTAGTTTCAATTCAACAATCATGACGGCGAATAAACCGATTCTGTACGGCACCTATACTAGCCCCGGTGTTAATGCTGTTATTATGACACTAAAAGCTGTCAATGTTGACTTTGAATTTCGTGAAATAAAACCACTAAAAAATGAAAACTTTTCCGAGGAATATTTAAAGAAAAACCCAACCGGTACCATACCCTGCCTGGAAACTGAAGATCATAAATTTATTGGAGATTCACATGCTATTACAGCCTATGTGGTAGATCGTTATGCAGCAGATGATTCGTTATATCCCAAAGATTTGTGTAAACGTGCCAAAGTTCAACAGCTACAACATTTTGCCGACAGCATTTTGTTTACGACGTGTGTTCGACCGGCCTATGAACCGATATTTTGGCGAACAAAAAACTCTGTGGACAATGAGATATTTAAACGTATCGATAAGGCATACGGAACGATGGAACGTTTTCTTAGCCAGGGTAAATGGGTGGCCGGTGATCAGTTGACAATTGCCGATTTCCATTGTGTTGTTTGTGTATTTGGTTTGTTCTATTTGCGACCGGTCGATGATGCGGCGTATCCATGTCTATTCGATTGGCTGCAACGAATGATGGCAATACCCTATGTTATGGATATGTTAACTAGCAGTGCAATGACTTCATCAATGGGTTTTCTCGATAAACAAATCGCAAAGTTGTAAGAATAATTAATAAAAAATAATAAATTATTGGAAAAAATATGAAAAAATTAATAACTTTGAAGTAGAGTAAAAAAGAAGGCACACACAGAGACAGTATATCGGTAGCCCCTTGTGGTCTCTATACAGCCCAATTGGTTTATAATAAAGATCTGTGGTCTCTGTACAGCCTTGATTCAAAAAAATATAAATTTGTTATATCCCAGAAAAAAAGAATTCTATTCCATCTTGACACGATCATTTTGGAAATCTATCATTAGGCCTCAAAATACGATAAACAACACTTGTATATTGTACTTGATTTTCTGAAGTGTCTGGGTGAACTATACCCCCAACGAATAATTTAATGATTAATTCTTATCACGCCAATGTGAATTTTTTTGTGGATCGCACATGAACTTTGTTTTTGTTTATAAAATATTGTTGTTATCGGAAAGGGAGTTTAAATAAATACATACTATTTAGAAAGCTCACGAAATGTATGATAAATTGATATCAGGTGTACACAAAAAGAGAGCCAAATAAAAATTTAAGAGAAGAGACGAAGTGGCATCTATTTTGTTTCAAGAGTTATTATTATTAAAATAATAATATACTTATATCAGCTATAGATTTGATAAAAAATTGTTATTCTCCAGATTACCCAAAGAAAAAGCTCTAGCAAAATCCGCCTAACAAAAACCTCATCATGAGAATAGACATTCAGTTGCAAATTTATTGTCATGGCATCGACAAAACCAATACTCTATGGGCTATATTCTAGTCCCATGGTAAATTCCGTTGTTATGATTCTGAAAGCATTAAATGTGGATTTTGAATTTCGTAAAGTTAGACCAATGAAGAAAGAGACTCAAACTGCCGAGTATTTAAAAAAAAATCCAACAGCCACTATACCATGTTTGGAAACGGAAGATCATAGATTTATTGGAGATTCCCATGCTATTTCCATATATTTGGTAGAACGTTATGGCCTAGATGATTCATTATACCCTGAGGATATCTTTAAACGTGCCAAAGTACATCAACTGCAACATTTTTCCAACTGCATACTCTTTACATCTTGTGTTCGACCAGCCTATGCTCCGATATTTGCACGTCAAACGACCACCGTTTCGGAAGAGGTTCTCAGGGCAATTGATGGAGCTATGTTAATAATGGAAAGATTTTTGGAACAAAATCAATGGGTGGCATGTGAACGACTGACAATTGCCGATTTTAATTGTATAACTTCTATAGCAAGTTTATATAGATTGAGGCCGTTTACTGAGCAGAGCCATCCACGTCTACATGATTGGTTTCAACGAATGTTGGCTATACCCTATGTTATGGAAACGTTGTCAAGTGATGCTATGAATACAACAAAAAGATTTCTCTCGAAAAAAATGTCACATTTGTAAATAATACAAGAAAGATGATAGATAGGGAGATTTAAATAAAAATATAAAGTGAAAAACGATTTTGGTTTCAATACAGCTGAATTGGTCTCCATACAGACCAATTGGGTTTTATAAAGACCTGTGGTCTTTATACAAATTAATTGGTATTTATAAAGGCATATGGTCTCTATATATATATATATATCAATTGATCTTTATAAAGACCTATACCTATACATAACAATTGGTTTTTATAAGGACCCATTGTCTCTATACAGACCAATTGGTCTTTACAAGGACCTATGGTCTTTGAGGCCTTTGGTCTCTGCACAGACCAATTGATCTGGGAGAGGCCTATGGTCTCCACACAGACCAATTGGTCTGGGAGAGGCCTATGGTCTCTACACAGACCAATTGGTCTTTATAAAGACTTATGACAAATATACAGACCAGTTGGTCTTTATAAAGACATATGGTCTCTATAAAGACATATGGTCTCTATACAGCACAATTGGCCTTGGTCTCTATACAGACCAATTCGCCTTTATAAAGACCTGTGGTCTGTGATATTTAAACAGACCAAATTGTCTTTGTGAAGACCTCTGGTCTCTATACAGCCCAATTGGTTTTTATAGATATTTGGTTACATACATTTTTTACCTCAAATACCGATAACAACCCTCGTACACACAAAATGCTGATATCATTTGAAATGAGAATAACTAATGGTTGCTCGTGTTGTTTTTTAAGCTCCCACCGAAGAGAATCTTTGCAATTTTATCAATTATTGAAGCTCTCGCCAGAATGGCATTTGAATCTACATTTCTCCCAATCTCTTTACTCTCTTTCTGCCTCTTCTAAGTTGGCCTTCAATATTTTGTTGCATATATTAAGTTAACACTGTTGATTTTTTGTTTTTTTTAGTTGTTGTAGTTGTGTTTAAGAAAATGATAATTAGATTAGAGACATTTTATCAATGTTTATATTTTTGAGTGAAAACATAACTAATGGAGACTTGTAATAAAAAGAGGTATCATAAAAGTCGAATGGGACTTGGTATATGATATATTTATTTATTTCAGATATTCAAAAAATAAAGAATGATGCCAATTTAAGGGACGTTTAAATTTGCTTCGATTAGGGATTGGAACAAGAAGGCCTTTAGAGTGAAAGGTTAAACAACTAAATAATATAATTTTTTTTAAATTTGTCCATCTGAGGGGTATAATACCACTATTATATCTGAATCCACTTTTTTCTCCACGTGGTCATTGAGGCGGAATTATGCTCTAGTTGAACATAGGGTCTTTTGATATCAAACACCGACCTCAATTAGCCCAAGAAATTGGCAGTCTGCGTGCTACATGCTACATGTGCTGTCTTTCCGTGTATTAATTTAAAAATAATATTATTCTAACAATGTAAGATATATTTGAGAAAATATTTGAAATTCCATTAAAAGTGATTTTAAAAAAAGTGCAAGTAATGTGGTATACCACATGATGTTAATGTGGTATAGTATAATTTTCACTTCCAATTGATATCTTATATAATTTATTGCTTTTAATGAATTAATTCGCATTCATTGAGATTTATGTCTGTTGAGATTTTTATATAATAATATCTACACATGGCAAAATTTAATTTTTGTATGGAGAAGTTGTTAAAACTCTTAGCCTTTGTTTTTCATCCTTGTGATTGATGGTAGACTATCGTAGAGTACAAATGTTTCAAGTAGTAATGATATTTTGTCTAGTGCTGACTTTTTTCATGCAGACTCTGCATTTGTGTGTACTGAAGAAATTTAATTTTTGGTACTGATTCTCAACGTGATTTAAATAAATTAAACAGATCATTGCTATCTTTTTTTGATAACAGCAAACTAAAGAAAATGTTTCAGTTATTCTAAAATTTTCAGTTTACAAAAAAAGTGACTATACCACATTACCAACCTATACCACATTTGCATCATCTCCTATATTATTTTTATATAAGGGCTATGCCAAAAAATTAACTTTCATAAATAATGTTTAGGCTTTTACCCAGCAAGAATCGGAAACAAAAGACATTAAAAAACTTACAGTTGTCTCCACTTATTTCAGGTCGGAGTTGGGATCAACTCGGACGGATAGGCCAAAATCGACATAGAACTTTATTTTAATTACTAGCATATAGCCTCTACTTCGTTAGCGAATGTAGGAACTATTTAAATGTCTAAATATATTATTTCGTATGTCTAAATATATTATTTCGTATGTTTAAATATATTATTTCGTTTTCACAGCAGAGCTAATCCACCTACACGCCAATATCCATCATAATTATTTCTTTTTTTTGACATTTAGTACCGCTGTTCTCTTATGGTACGTATTTCCAAAACTACCTCCGTATGTCAAGACTACACACCAATTCGGACCACAACAGAAATCTAGCGCTATACTAAATTTAGTACAATATATAAATTTTGTACTTTTGTAGTACTTATTTCCAAAAAGATTCTAAATTTCATGATTCGAGCTCTATACGTTCACTCAAATTCAATTTTTACCACTTAGTACACATTAATATAAATTTCCATAACTTCCTACCCCATCAATACAAAAGTAATCATATTTCTTTTTTCAAGATTCCAGCCCATTCAGTTCAACCAAATCCAAATTTAGCACCATTTAGTACAATAAGTACGATTTTTAAAAACTTCCTACGTACCATAATCCCACACTCGAACTATAATTTTAATTCCAAATTATATCAAATTTAGTACCATTATATATAAGTATACATAAGTACAAATTTCCATTATTACCTATATCATACAACCAATAGAAATCTTTCAGGATTTCATCTCTATCGGTTCACCCAAAATTCAAATTGTACCAAATTTATTGGCACTTAGTACACATTAGTACATGTTTCCAAAACTTCCTACATACCCCAATCCTACAGCCTAACTTCAAAATTTCAGGATTCCAATCCTATCGGTAGATCCAAAATTCAAGTTGTACTAAATATAGTACACATAAGTACGAATTTTCAAAACTACCTACCTAACTCGATTCCACAACGCAATAGTAATTTTATATCTAAATGTCAGTATTCCGGCTCTATCGGTTCAACCAAATCCAAAATGTACCAAATTTAATACTTTTCGTACACATAAGTACAAATTTCCATAATTACCTTTATCATACAACCAATATAAATCTTATGACAAATATTTAGGATTCCAGTCATATCGGTTCACCCAAAATTCAAATTGTAAAACATTTAGTACCACATTAGTTGGAATTTCCAAAATATCCTATATACTCCAATCCTACACCTCAACAGTGATCTTAACTTCAAATGTCAGAATTCCAGCTCTATCGGGTCAGCCAAAATTCAAATGGTACCTAATTTAGTACGACATTCCTAAACTACCTAGATAATTCAATTCTTACATCCAAATGTTAGTGTTCCAGCTTTATCGGTTCACCCAAATCCAATTTGTACCAAATATAGTTCAATTTAGTACTTTTCTTACACATAAGTGCATATTTCCCAAAACTATCTACATATCCAAACTTTCACTCTGACGGTAATGTTAATTTAAAATATCAGGTTTCCAGCTCCATCCGTTGCCCCAAATTCAAATTGTACCAAATTTAGTACTTTTCTGATATTTTTACTTAATATTTTCTTTGGCACATCTATCCTACACTCCATCAGAGACCCTCATACTAGATTTAGGAGTTGTAGCACTACCGGTACGCCATATACAAATTCTAACCTATTTAGTACTTTTTAGCATTGCAGGAACATTGCTGGTTCTGGTACGACTTTTAAATAATCCTGCCTTATCCGATACCTTTGAACTAAGAGTGACCCTGACCCAAAATTTCTAGCTGCAGCCGTTTCCTCTGGGCATTGATGATACGTTAAGTCAATCAATCACTTTACTATTTTATTAGTATAGGTAGATGTAAATGCGCCAGGAACCCCTACCGCATATTTTCAACATATGGCGCAGGGTACACAAAAAATGTTTTAACCCACTGTGCATTCATTCCTCAGCTCTCGAAATTGTCGAGTGTGGACACTCTGTTTACATTTAACACTCAACGCAATAAACAACTAATGTGGCTGGCTAGCTGTTGATGGTTGGTTGGTGGTCGATGATAAGAGATACGAACCGAAAAAATCTCTGCTTACATATTCTCAACAAAATAAATAAACAAAATAAAATAAAACGATAACACGAAGACGTGAATATGCAAAAAACGCATTTGAACCCTACAACGGCTGTTGTTGATTTTTTCTCTCTCGATTTTTTTCAAAACTAAACCTCACACATCCGTCGGACCATTGGTCCAAGAAGTGAGGTTGTTGAGGGGAATAAAACGAAACAAAACAACTACCGCCAGACTCATTACTCTACTCTCAGGCTGTCAGTCAGTTGGTAACTCGCGTTCGCGCAATCTACAACACTCGTACGACGGATTTCAATTAAAAGATTTCATTAGACTGCTGCTGCTGCTGGCAGTACAAAACACCAACAACAACAATAAAAACAAACACACCAAAAATTATAATTTGTTTTATTTTTCTTCAAATACATTTAATATTTCTAAAAATATCATTAAAAGAACGTCCAACAATTTCAAATTTTACCAAATATGAAATTTAATTAAACAAAAGAAGAAGAACAAAAAAAAGCAAACACATATGAAATATTAATTATGTTTGAATATAATTTGTGTTGAAAATATACTGATAAGTGAATGTTAACAGTTCAGTTTTTTTCTTTCTTGTGGATCACCGGTTTTTGAATAACTGCAGCAGTGACAACAACAACGAAATTCATTCAACATGACCAAAATCGATTGTAAATCGAGGCGTGGCACCAAAATATCGGTGATCATTTTAGGCGGAGCTTTGTGTGCCGTAATGATGGCTTATTTTGTTTTTGGCGACACCAACGATGAACGTGGCCTACGCAATTTACGAATGATATCGATAGTAAGTTGGCCTACATTGCTGCGAACAGGGGCTCAAAGTGGTTGCAATATTTTATATTAAATTTAAAGCGAAAAGAAGAAATGTAGAAGATCTAGAATAAAAATTAGACGATTGATGGAGGCTATAGAAAATCCCTAAAAGATCGTTTCTAATAGGAAGGTATTCGGCCAGCAACTTTATAAATATCCAATACCAAATATGGCTTAACCGTTGTAATCAAGGTCCCTAGGACTAATTAAGGTAAACATTTCAAAAACCATCGGCGATGGACCTTTAAGTACGAGGGCAGTTACGAGCCTAACACAAAAAGCGCGGTATAAACAGAAAAAAGTTAAGTGTTTTTAAAACTTCCAACTCTGTTATGAACACATGTTAAATTTTGTTACGATCTGGCAACTCCTTCATATAGAAACAGGTGTGCAAAAAAGACGAATCATTGTGAAAAAATTGCGGAGGCATCTTTTTTGAACACTTATTTCTATAAGGAGGTGATTTTGGAAGTGCGTACTCATGTATACGAAGAGTACTAAACAGTACTAAATTTGGTACAATTAGAATTTGGAGGTATGGTTCGAGCTGGAATCCTGAAATTTAAAATTAACATTACCATGCGAGTGTAAGATTGGATATGTTGGTAATTATGAAATTTTGTACTTATATGTAAGAAAATTAGTAAATCGTACTACATTTGTTACAATTTGGATTTGGGTGAACCAATAGAGCTGGAACTCTCAATTTTTGAAATAAGATTACTACTGTATTGTAGAATTGGGGTATGTTGATAGTTTGGGAAATTCGTGCTTATTTGTATTCAATGGTACTAGATTTGGTACAATTTGAATTTTTGGAGAACCTAAAGAGCTAGAATCCAGAAAATTGGATTTAGAAATGCTGTTTGGGGTGTAGATATGGGATATGTAGAAAGTTTTGAAAAGTACAAGAGTGGATATAATTTGGATTTAGGTGGACCAATAGAGCTGGAACACTAAATATTTGGAATTAATATTATTAATGAGGTATGTAAATAGTTTTGGAAATTCGTACTTATGTGATCTAAATGGTACTACATTTGGTACAATTTTGATTTAGGGTAAACTGATAGGTCTGGAATCCTGAAATTGGGAAATACGATTTCTATTGAATTGGATGACATAGGTGGTAATAGAAATTTGTACTTATGTGTACTAAATCGTACTAAATTTTATGCAATTTGGATTTAGGTGAACCAACAGAGCTGGAATTATAAAGTTTGGAATTAAGATTACTTTTGGAGTGTACAATTGTAGTATGTGTGTAGTCAAAATTTGTTATAATTTGAATTTTGGGTGAACCAGTGGATCTAGAATGTTGGATTGGGTATATAGGAAGTTTTGGATATGTGTACTAATGTGTACTAAATAGCTTTAAATTTGGTACAATGTGGGTTTAGAGTAAATCGATAAAGCTGGTATGCTGAAAGAGGGTAATAAGATTTCAATTGGATTGTATTATGTAGATTGCATGACGTGGATTTATGTGAACCGATAGACCTGGAATGCTGAAGTTTGAAATTAGATTTTTGTTGTGGTCAGAATTGGTGTGTAGTGTTGAGATGTGGAGGTAGTTTTGGAAATAGATTCTATAAGAGAGCAAAGGTACTAAAATTTTAATTATGATCGATATTGTTTCTTTCAAAACAAAATAACAAAACAGTCTTTTTCTAACCAAACGGACTATATTTAGATAAGTCGGAATTTTGGAAAGACGCCCTCAAATAAAATGTTTGATATGACTCCATATTTTTAAATAGCCCTCTTAGAAAGTCCAGGTTTATTTTTCGATATTTTGAAGGTTCTCGCTGATTTTCCAACAGAAGTTCAAATTCCGGGCGAATAAAAAATGTCTTCCTAAAAATTGTTTAATATAGGACCCAGATTTTTAAATAGCGCCATACAAAGATCCTGCCAAATATTTTTAGTATTGAAGTTGAGCCTAGATTTCCAACAAAAGTCCCTGTATTTAATTACTGTGAGACAATTATAAATAAACTAGAATATAAAGACCCCTACCGATATAACAACATTCTTACTTCTGTAAAAGCAAAGAAACGTTAAAATAGTACAATGTCGAAAAATCGGTTCTACGCTTCAAAATGATTTAATTTGAACTTGACCAATTATTGTAAACTCAGCGAAATTCTATAACTGACGAAAGTTTTGTCTGCAAAAGCTTATATTATCAACATTTTTAATTTTTCTTTACTATGAGTCACTGTATGTTGTTTTCATTCATTGTAGTACACTAAAATCGATGTTGACGTTCGGAGGCTACGGCATGCGCCAGCAATTGAAAGTTACAATGTCCACAACAGAAATGCAGCCAAACAAATGCTTTGATTTTTGTTGTTGTTTCAAAATACAATATTTACGCGACAAAAAGAGATTTGCATGCGGAAGAGACTACAGAGTTCATACATAATAATGTAATTTATTACCATTATTATGAACAATAGGTGTGCTTATGATTTTTTTTTAAGAATAGTTTTCAAGGGCCATCTGTAGGCGTGGTTATTTTAAGAATTTTTTTTTCAATGATCATCTGAACTATAGGTGTGGTTATTTTCAGAATATGTTTTCAAAGGACCATCTGAACTATAGGCGTCGTTCTTTTAAGAAAATTTTTTCAAGGACCATCTGAAGTATAGTCGTGGATATTTTAAGAATATTTTTTCAAGGACCATCTGAACTATATGCGTGGTTATTTTAAGAATATTTTTCAAGGTGTGATTATTTTAAGAACCATAACCATCTGAACCATAGGCGTGGTTATTTTCAGAATATTTTTTCAATGACCATCTGAACTATAGGCGTGGTTATTTTCAGAATATTTTTTCAATGACCATCTGAACTATAGGCGTGGTTATTTTCAGAATATTTTTTCAATGACTTTATTCTGTAATAATCAAATATCTATTTATTATGGATTCTTTTCAGCTCTTTAGGCATGGTGAGAAGAATCCCAGTGAATTATATCCAAATGATCCGCATGCCACCCACGAATGGCCAGGAGGTTTGGGAGCACTGACACAGGTAAATATTTATATTATATATAAAAAATAGATGCTAACCTTTATTGCTTTACAGAAAGGTAGTCTACAGGCCTATAATTTGGGTAAAAATCTGCGAATGCGCTATTATCGTTTGCTGCCACCAAATGGTCTTTATACCGCCCAGCAAGTATCGGTTTTAAGCTCAGCCGCCGAACGATGTCTGATGAGTGCAAATAGTCTGTTGGCTGGATTTATGCCACCGCTGGAGCACAACAATCCATTGCCCATTGAATGGCAAACAGTGGCTGTGAATTCGATACCACGTAAAGAGGATATTGTAAGAAATTCAGTGAAGTATTTTGAAATTTAAGAAATACAATTATTGTGTTTTCCTGTAGTTACTGGCCCAAAAGAAACCCTGTGCCAAATATGATACCATCTTACAAAAATTGTATAAAACCCCACCACCTGATGTACGAAAAATGGATGATGACAATTACAACTTATATCGCCTATTGACCAAACATACTGGTCAAAATATCACCTCCGTCTTGGATGTTGAATTATTGTATAATACATTGAAAATTGAAAGTGAAGCTGGCTTAACTTTGCCTGATTGGGCAGAAAATATCTATCCGGATCGTTTGGAACCATTGGCGGAACGTAGTTATACTCTCTTTACGGAAACAAATCTAATGAAAAAAGTCAAAGGTGGTGCCTTTCTCACCGAAATACATTCGAAAATGTTGAACAAACGTAAACGGAATTTAAATCCGGATCGGAAAATATTTCTATATGCTGGGCATGATGTGACCCTTGTCAATGTTATGAATTCCCTGAATATTCTAGATCAAACTGCCAAATTGCCGGAATATGCATCGGCATTGGCTTTTGAATTACATCATAGTTCGTTGTTTAAAGATGATTTTGAGGTTAAGGTAAGTTTCAGAGATATGGAGACAGATATTTTCTTTTAATTATTTTTTTATTTTCAGATTGTTTATTACTATAACAGTGATGATAAATTCCCCAAAGAATTGGCCATACCGAATTGTGATGCTCCATGTTCGTTGACTCAATTCACTGAATCGATTAGCCATCTACTTTTGGATAACTACGATGAGACTTGTGAAAATCCTCAGCCGGAGTGTAAATAGCAGATACTTAATCTTGGTCAATTATTATATACTATGGCGATTTTGTTATTTATTTTTAGATTTATACAATATTTGTGATAAGATGTAATAAAAATAATTGTTTTGTTTGTTGTTAAATAACTATTTTTTTTAGAAACCCATTCATATTTTTCAAGGGCTAGAGGTGTGAATATATTTGTATAGGCGTGATTATTTTAAGTATATTTTTTCATATAAGAGTTGTTATTATTATAGGCTTGGTTACATATTTTTGCATATAGGCGTGGTTACATATTTCCATATAGTCGTGGTTACATATTTTCATACAGGCGTGGTTATATTTTTGCATATAGGCGTGGTTATTTTAGAAATATGTTTTCATATAGGCGTGGTAATATTTTTTCATATATTTTTTCTATCTGGACTATTGGCGTGGTTATTTTAAGACTATTTTTGCAAGGACTATCTGGACTATAGGCGTGGTTATTTTAAGACTATTTTTGCAAGGACTATCTGGACTATAGGCGTGGTTATTTTAAGACTATTTTTGCAAGGACTATCTGGACTATAGGCGTGGTTATTTTAAGACTATTTTTGCAAGGACTATCTGGACTATAGGCGTGGTTATTTTAAGACTATTTTTGCAAGGACTATCTGGACTATAGGCGTGGTTATTTTAAGACTATTTTTGCAAGGACTATCTGGACTATAGGCGTGGTTATTTTAAGACTATTTTTGCAAGGACTATCTGGACTATAGGCGTGGTTACTTTAGGTTCGTTCGTTTACTCAATAATTTGTACGAATTTGTACAAATTATTACAAAATGTTGTTCGTTTACCCAAAAGTCCAGTAAAAGAGAGTGAATTGAGAGAGCAGATTTGACAGTTGTGTTACTGAGTATTTGCAAATTCTTACAAGGAAAAGAAATTTTCTTGTATCATCAGCTGATATTTAATCAGCTGTTTTGTTATGTTTTGTAAACAAACAAAAAATTGTTCTCAAGAAAATTGATTGTTTTGTGAATTTTATTTTGATTTTGTATCATTAAATAGTTAAAACTTACCGGTCACAGCCCTTTTAAATGTTTGTGGGGAACAAACAACATCAATTTTTCTAATAAAAATGCTGTTTTTTAGTTTGCGCCAATTTGTTTGTTGTTTTAATCAGCTGTGTCGAAACAATCTTTTTACTGGATGTTGTTCGTTTACTTTTTGCAGTTTTCTCTCTTGAGAAGGAAAAATTTAATATTTACTCTCTGCAAATTCTTACTGAGTAAATATTACTGGGAAAGTAAACGAACGAACCTTTTAAGACTATATTTTCAAGGGCTATCTGGCGTGGCTATTTTAGGACAATTTTTTCAAGTACTATCTGGCGTTGCTATTTTAAGACTATATTTTCAAGGGCTATCTGGCGTGGCTATTTTAAGACTATTTTTTCAAGGAATATCTGGCGTGGCTATTTTAAGACTATTTTTTCAAGGAATATCTGGCATGGCTATTTTAAGACTATTTTTTTTTCAAGGAATATCTGGCATGGCTATTTTAAGACTATTTTCTTTTCAAGGACTATCTGGACAATAGGCGTGGTTATTTTAAGACTATTTTTTCCAGAACTATTTGGCGTTGCTTTTTTAAGACTATATTTTCAAGGGCTATCTGACGTGGCTATTTTAGGACAATTTTTTAAGGACTATCTGACCTAGAGGCGTGGTTATTTTAAAACTATTTTTGCAAGGACTATCTGGACTGTAGGCGTGGTTATTTTAAGACTATTTTATCAAGGACTATCTGGACTGTAGGCGTGGTTATTTTAAGACTATTTTATCAAGGACTATCTGGACTGTAGGCGTGGTTATTTTAAGACTATTTTATCAAGGACTATCTGACTATAGGCGTGGTTATTTTAAGACTATTTTATCAAGGACTATCTGGACTGTAGGCGTGGTTATTTTAAGACTATTTTATCAAGGACTATCTGGACTGTAGGCGTGGTTATTTTAAGACTATTTTATCAAGGACTATCTGGACTGTAGGCGTGGTTATTTTAAGACTATTTTATCAAGGACTATCTGGACTGTAGGCGTGGTTATTTTAAGACTATTTTATCAAGGACTATCTGGACTGTAGGCGTGGTTATTTTAAGACTATTTTATCAAGGACTATCTGGACTGTAGGCGTGGTTATTTTAAGACTATTTTATCAAGGACTATCTGGACTATTGGTTATTTGTTTAAATATTATTCCAATATTTCACCTTATAACATGTTACGACACTACCTTAGTGACAGTTTACACACAATTATGCATAGGTGTATAGAGATTAAATCAATGCCAATTTCTTAGAAAACCCAAAACAATCTCAACAAATGAAAAAATATAAATAGAGCAGCCGCGTAATGAAGCATTTCCAAACGAATCGATACGATCGGCAAGTAAGCATCAAACGGGGATTTTCCACAAAGTTACAATCGAACAGATACAACCTGTAATGCATTTCATTATAATTTGTTGCGGTTTATTGTCCCTAATTGTGGGCAGTAATGCCACTGGGAAAACCACTACTGTGGAAACCACATTGGGCGCCATTAAGGGCCAGCAAATGACAACGCGTTTGGGAGAAAAATTCTGGTCATTTCGCGGTATACGATTTGCTGAACCTCCAACAGGAAATCTACGCTTTCAAAATCCCCAACCAGTAAAACCCTGGAAACCTCAAGCCTTCGACGCCACCCAAGATGGACCAATGTGTCCTCAAATTACCGAATCGCGAAGATCATTGCTATCCGAGGATTGTTTACGTCTCAATGTTTATACAAAATCACTGAATTCATCATTGCCGCTAAAACCGGTTATTGTTTATTTACATCCGGGTGGTTTTTATTTATTCTCCGCCATAAGTCTGGATGCTGGACCACAAAATTTTCTCGATCGTGATATTGTTTTGGTAACGGTAAATTATCGTTTGGGTTCATTGGGGTTTTTGGCTCTTGGTAATGAACAGGCTCCCGGAAATATGGGGCTAAAGGATCAAGTTATGGCCCTGCGTTGGGTTCAACAGCATGTGGTGACATTTGGTGGTGATCCGAAATCGGTAACATTGTGGGGCTACAGCGCTGGTGCCATGAGTGTTGGCCTGCACATGATGTCACCAATGTCAAAGGGGTTATTCCATCGTGCTATTATGCAAAGTGGTTCTCCCTTGGCTCAATTTCGTTACGCCAGCAATCAAAGTGATTTAGCTGAGATACAAGCGAAACTGCTGAAATGTCCGGTGCAACCGGTGCCGGATATGTTGAAGTGTTTAAAAGAGGTAAGGATTTAAAATTGGTTAAATTTATATCTATAGAGAAAAAATACTGAGGATTCAATTTTTTTTCTATAGAAAAACTGCTGTTTTACTTTTTTTCTGTAGAAAAAATATACTATTTCAGAAAAAAAATACTGAGGTTTAAGATTTTTTCTATAGGGAAAATATACAGAGGTTTCAGATTTTTTTATAGAAAATAATTCTGAGGTTTTTTCTACAGAAATAAATACTGAGGTTTCCGTTTTATTTTTCTAGTATTTTTTTATAACAATAATGTGGCTTCAGATTTCTTCTATAGTAAAAAATAATGAAATTTCAGATTGTTTTCTATAGAAAAATACTGAGTTGTCAAATTTGTTTTTCTATAGAAAAAAACGACTGAGGTTTCAGAAATTTTTCTACAGAAAAAAAACGAGTTTCAGGTTTTTAATATAGAAAAATAATACACCTAAGAACCTCGGCAAATACCTCCTTTTCTAGAAACCCATGTTGGACTTTGTCGATACCGCCAGTGGTATGTTTGAATTTGAAATGAACCCAGGCCTCAATTGGATGCCTGTTGTCGATGGTTGCCAGGAGAAATTTCTTATTGAGGATCCCTATAAGGTCATGCTAAATGGCCATATACACAAGGTGCCTCTAATCACAGGAATAACAGAATACGAATTTTATTATGGGGCCTATGGTAAGGAGATTTTCAAGGAAAAGGATAATCATTAATAACTCAATTATTTCGATTTGATTACAGACAGTTTAGGCAATGAAACAGAACGTCGACGCTTCAATGAAGATTTCTCCAAATATGCCCCGATTTATTTCTTTTATGAACGTGACACACCAAAATCTAGACACATTAGCGAAGAAATTCGTCAATTTTATTTTCAAAATACCACATTGCGATTTCCCGAATCACTTGAGAAGTTTGGGGAAATGTATGCTGATGTTGTGGGTTTTGAAAATCATCGTTTTTTGAATATGGTTGCGAAACATATACCGGTCTATAGTTATCTATTTACATATAAGGGACGTTATAGTACTTTAAGGAATCCGGAAACAAATCAGACTTATGGTGAATATTCAAAAAATATATATTTTTTGACAGATTCAAACCTAAAAATTCACCTTCCAGGTGCCATGCATTTAGATGAGCTATGGTATTTATTGTATCTACCCGAAATGACACCATTGTTCCGTGATGATGCTCCCGAGAATCTACTCATTGAACGCCTGAGCCGTATGTGGTATGAATTTGCCAAGAAAAGGTAAACAATTCGGAAAAGATTTTTAAAAGCAATAATATAATTACATTAATTACAATTACATTTTTTTCAGTGATCCCAATAATCGCACCGATGAATATTTGAAGAATCTTCAATGGCCTCTCTATGACAATCGAAATAAACAATATTTGGATATTGGCAATGAATTGCGAGTCAAAAGAAATGGCATATTCTTGGAGCGTATGCAATTATGGGATCGTCTATTTCCCATTGAGGATATGATTAATAAAAATTTGTAAATAGATATATTTTTCGAATTCAAAGTAGTAAATGAATAAAATGAAATAATCCATATTTTAGGGGAGATATACGAATCTAAATCTCATTTATAAAAGAAAGGAAGGGGTCAACGGCGAAGGAACGCCGGAAATGTTCTATATAGAATCAGTTTACCCTTGGATAATTATTAAAATTTTCAAATGTAGAATATCGAAATAACATTGGTTATTTTATTTTTATACCCTCCACCATAATATGGAGGTTATATTAATT